ATCCGTACCCTGGCTAACACTTCTCAGCATATGTCACTGTTTTCTCCTACACTCCACACTTTTACACCCAGTAGCTGACACTCTTTTCAGCAGCCATCCTTGTTTTTCTAGCACCCTTCACGGTTTATCAGCTGCATTTCTTAACTGCATTGCTTTTCTTCGGTTTGATTGTTCACTGCCAGGATGGGTTATGGGCGAAAATAATTTGGTGGGACCGAGTAGTGTAATGCCTAGCTGTTCAGACGTGGAATGCGTGCAGGGCTTTTTCTTTAGCGGGCTTGTCGTGCACACGTTGTGTAAGTCATTTGGAAAAAGGTGCACATTTCGACGTTCGGAGCAGCTTTTTTATTAGCGTGATTTGAAACCTGGTTGCGAATGACGATTCGCCGGCGACATGACTCACTTTGAAGTCCCAAACCGTATCTACAATATCCGGTATTCCTGCGTGCATTTTTACACCCGTCTTCTGTCTGCAGGAACACACAGTCCAATGTTTTGCTGTTGCTGCTGTTTCTGATAATGTGGTCTCTCTTTCCTGTTTTCAGCTGGCACTCCGTTCGCTGGCGGTGAATTTCGCATGAAGTTGGTGCTTGGAAAGGACTTTCCGGCAGCCCCACCTAAAGGTATGTATTGTGTCAATGCTTACCTTCTGTATCTGTGTGTATTGGGGGGGGGGGGGGGGGGGGGGGGGGGGCACTCGCACAGTGAAACCTGTCTAAGACGACCGCTCAAGGGGCTTTGTTGCCAGGTGGTCTCCTTATCCAGGGTGGTTTGCCTGGACATAACATCCCTTGGTCCTGGTTGCAGTGGTCTAGCCTAGTCCGTTCTTATTTTTCGCGAACACAGCCGCTTCGTTCTTATTCAATGGTACAGTAATACACATACATGTCATTGTGCACTGTTGTGAATTCCAGCAGAAATCCAAGAGAGCTCGATACCAGGAAGGTAGAGCCGTGACACACTGATGAGTGCCTGAGATGGCATGAAACTTTAAGTTGTGACTGATCAGGCCATCTGTTGTTCTGACTAGTGTGTACATGTCATTGTCTGACTGGAGAGAGGCGAAGAAAGCCAGGCCATCGACATTCTCATCCTAAGTCTGCGCTGGTTGCGCGACGACTGAAATGTTTCATCTTGCCGTGCGAGTGAAACAAATCTATGTTCTCACGCTGCGTAGATATGGGGCCGCGCACCGCAAGTACGAGCCTGGCCAGTTTCACGGCAGCGAGTGCCGCGTGACTCCGTGTTCCAGCCACGAACTACACTTCGTCACTGTGTCAGTTTCATTTTCAAGCAAGTAAATGTTAGTTTTTTTTCATTTGACTCTTGAGTTTCTGTCGGCAACGTCCTCACACGCATGGCGTACGTGGAGAATCTGTTCGGGATCAACCAAACTCACCTCGACATGGACGTGGGTTGTCGATGACAGCCTTTGGCGCCGTTCGTTGAGCAGGTTATTGCTCAAAAACACCGTTCAAAAAAGTCACGAAGTTTTTGTATACGGAGGAAGTAGACCGTTCTTGAAATCGGTAAAATTCTAGCCTGGCCTTGGCCTCTCTTCGGCGCTCCGTTCTTCGCCGCTCCGTTCTTCGGCGCCCGACAGTACTGTAAGGAACTGCTTGTCTGTACCTAAATTTTCTGTTCACCTAACCTGGCCTTTTGCCCTCCGCATACCGAAAATATTGAGCACCGAAAATTTCTGAAATTAGAGTACTGTAAAACGGCCGATTTTAGCGACTTTAGCGAAAGGAGTGTTTTCGCTAAAGTTTTGCAGCACCAATCGAAATGTTGCATGTACAGTACAGTACTACACCATCCTTCTTTTTAAAGTCTGAAACTCGGATCGCTAAATTATTTCATTGTGAATCGGTCCAGATCCAGGAAACGCTAAAAAATTTAGCTGCTCAAATTAGCCGTTCTTCAGTACCGCCTTTTTAAATAGCCGCTGTCTGACCTTGATGTGTTTGTTTGTTTTCCGTCAGGTTACTTCACAACCAAGATATTCCATCCGAATGTATCGGCAGCTGGGGAAATCTGTGTGAACACGCTCAAGAAAGACTGGAACGCCGAAATGGGCATCCGTCACTTGCTACTGGTCAGTCGAGTGTGTGTGGTGTGTGTGTGTGTGTGTGCGCGTGTGTGTGTGTGTGTGTGTGTACGTGTGTGGTGTGTGTGGGTGGGTGTGCGCGCGTCTTTTTGTGGTGTAGACCAGGTGGAATAGTGGCGGTCAATTCTTCAGCCTTGCAAGCTGTTGAATGGTGCAATCCGAGCACAAGTTGCTATGGCTTCTGCTGTAGCATCGCCATCGTTGCTTCTGGCGATGGGCGTCAAAGGGTTAAATGTGTGGGTGTGTCGCTATCATTGCTCTCCAATTGAACGGCCCAGGTTCTAGCTACATCTGCTAGAGTGTGTGTATGTGTATTGCCACGCAGGGGGGGGGGGGGGGGGCATGCTCCTGGTGTCTCCTTTTTCCATTTTTCTACCTCATCTCTCTCTCTCTCTTTCTCTCTCTCACACACACACACACACCACACACACACATACACACATACACACACACACACACAGACTCTTGTGCTTGCTCACTGCCATAAACTAGTCACGTTGGTCTCCCCGAAAGAGAGGAGAGAGACTCAAAACGAAAACACACACACGCACACTTTCTCATTCTTCCACCCTGTTCTCCCCGGCATGTTTCCGCAGACAATCAAGTGCCTGCTGATCGACCCCAACCCGGCATCGGCTCTCAACGAAGAGGCTGGAAAGCTGATTCTCGAAGACTACGCTGAGTATGGTCGGCGAGCGGAAATGATGACACGGATCCATGCCATGAAGTCCGTGAAGGATTCCGACGACAAAAAAGACACAGCGGCAGCCAGTGGTGGTAGCTCTGCCACGTCTACCAGTAAGTCGTCAGCCGACAAGAAGAAATCCGATCGGAAAAAGAACCTCAAGCGGCTGTGATGTGCTGTGCGTGCCGTCGTGTTTCGTCTTCGCTGTTGCTTTCGTTGCGCGGTTGCTTTCGTTGCGCGGTTGCTTTCGTTGCGCGGTTCCTTTGGCAGTGTAGCGTGAGCTGCTGTCGTGTGCCGCGCCTGCCCGTACTGCTACTGCTCTGTATGTGTGTGTGTGTGGCGTTGCTCGTGACTCGTGCCCTAGATTTCAGCTTGAGGTCTGTCTGCCATGCTCTGTTGGAACGTTGTCGTCCTCATCCGCCCGCCCGTTCCCGCTACCCATTTCCTTATTTACTCGCCCTTTAACACGCTATCTAAGATCACTTATCGCTTGCTGTTCGCCGCACCCATTGCATGTCTCGTGCCTTGCGTGGATGTCGGTTGATTTAACTTGCCCCCCCCCCAACCTTTATAATAAATTGTGTCTTCCCCTTTCTAGAGTTGAGAAGGAAGACGAAGAGATATATCACACGCCGGCTCGGGCTGGCCAATGGCTGTTGTGTTGCTGTTGGTTTTCTGAAGAGATATATTTCTCAAGCAGCAGGGCGTAATGCTTTGCTGCCGGTTTTATCATGTCCTCGTCTCACGCTAGTAGTCATTCTTGAATAGTTCTGATGAGAGTAGTAATATTATTATAGCCATCTATCCTTTCCCACTGTGCTGCTGCTGCTGACTTGTGTGTGTGTGGGGGGGGGGACCTGTGTGTGTGTGTGGGGGGGGGGGGGGGGGGGGCTGTGTTTGTGTATGGGGGGGGGGGGGGGTGTCTGTGTGTGTATGGGGGGGGGGGGACATGTGTTGTTGTGTGTGTGTGTGTGTGGGGGGGGGGGGGGGTGTTGTGTTCATTTTGTTTGCTACGTGCGAGGAGGGTGTGTATCACGTGTGCATGCATGGCAGGCAGGACAGTGTGTCTGTCCCGTACCCGCCACCCTTGGACGCTGCTGCCCTGGCAGTAGCCTATCCCTCTGGAAAATCGGAAATATGCACAAGAAATTGCGGGCTAAAAGAGTGAAAAATGTGGGCCAGACATACAGTAGTAAATTTGCGGAAACTGCAGTATCTTGCAACAATAGTAAAACGTGAAGGGAGGACCAAGCAAGGAATTTCGAAGCGCGAAGAACAGTGCGATGTCAAAGTTCGGCCCTGGGGACAAACGTTCACAGCCACGCACTTCGCGTACACCAAGAAGCACACGTAGCAGTGCACAGAACACACCATGCATGAAAATCTGTACAGGGTGGGCTCACGAATTCACTGACAATTGAGGCAAAATGAAGGAAATTCCACGTTTTCCACGGAAAATGCTAGATTCGCGGAAACCCACGAAAATCACGGAATTTGTCGCGGCCGCGGAATCGCGATTTTCCAAGGGGACAGAGTAGCAGGCCGAACGGTGCAGAGAGTCTGCGTTGCATATCAATATCCCCACGAAGTAAGTCACACTCGTGCGATATACCACGCACTCACTCTGAGCGCTATGCGTATTGCGAGTAGACTGCACATGTGTTGTAATATAAACCTATAATTATCTGACCGCAAGAAGGAATGAAAACATAAGCCATTGCGATAAGATAGAAGCCACTACTAGTACCTTCTACTACTCGCCACTGTGCATAATTATAATGTGGCAGCGACGGCGACTTCACACCAAGCTCAACGACGTGTTTCCAGGTGTTCGCTTCATGTCTCAACCGAGTCTACGCGAGGTAAAACCGGTCTTGCCAGAAAGGAAAGGAAATCAAGAGGTGCACTAATAAAAAAATATTCATTGTGATTTCAGCAAAATATGAAGTGAGCGAAATTTCAAAGGATGCAAAAAAGTACTGTGGCCTATTACGAGTAGAGAAGAGTCGTACGTCCGCACCAGCGTTCCTATGCAACCATGACTGGTGTAAGACGTCGCGAATGACATCATCAAACATACTTCAGCTACCAGTGCATGTATGCTAACACATTCAACCGTGTACTCTAGCATTGCTATGCACAAGCATGAACTGCCGTGCAGGCTACACATATGGCATCATCGCATGTACAGTGCAATGACATCATCGCATGTACAGTGCAATGACATCATCGCATGTGCAGTGCAACGAGTGGCATGCCAGTGAGTGTGTCTGATGTCGCAGCTTCAGGACTGTGCAATCGCAGCGACGTGATCAACGCGCATACTGAATACATCACATAGTGCGTAGTGCGTGCACATGCAACCATTATTTATGTGTCATGTGTTTCAATTACATATACTAGAACGTACACTGTGTTGCCGATGTACTGCTCAAGTGTGCCGGTTTGCAGAACGTTTTTTATTTACACGATACACAACTTACCGGAAGGCACAAGGGGCTGCTAGCATGGGGTGAGATGGTGCTGGTGGGGCCTGTCAGTGCCATGCTCAACCGACCAGAGGTCTCGGCATCTTCGAATGGCATGCGCAGCACATTGGGAGTAAGAGCACAAGCACGGCAGCTCACTGCTCACGTCATCACAACGGGCCTCCGCCGCCATCGCTCACAACCTACTGGGCATTGTTGGCGACGCCTGATGCTGACGCTCGCTCCAGTCGCAGCATGTGACCAACGGTCAGTGGTGCCGCCGCTGCTACAGCCGCTGTGGCGCCGGTGGTGGATGGTGACACTGGCACTTGGTCGTACAGCGTGCTGGCACGGTACTGGTCACGTGACACAGCCGACTTTGACGCGGCGGCGGCCGCGCTGCGGTCCCCAGACTCGACGACAGCGGGACTGCCGGTCGATATCGCACCTTCAGTGCTGGTGCTGGTGGTGCTGCTCGACTTTGGATGCTTAGAGCTTGTATGAGCTTTCCACGCTCCGCGGCTGGGGTACTTTCCGTGCAGGGATTCTCGACGGCTGCGGATCACTTCGTAGATGTGCTCCTGCGCCATGCCGGCAAACTCGGCTAGCTCGTCGCTGGGCAGCATGTACGGATTGAACGGGTCATCGTCATCGTTGTCATGGTGATCCATGTCACCGCCTCCTCCGCCGCCGCTCGGACCGGCCGCGGTGGTCGTGATGTCGGAGACGCTCGCGTCGCCCGTGTGCTGTTGCCGTAGCAACGGACGTGGCGACGGTAGCACGTCGCTGGGCTGTCGCGAGGGTGTCTTGCGAGTGGCGCCCGGCGACTGCGTTGTCAGGGAGCAGCTGGCCGGTGAGAGTAGGGGACTTCCCTCGGCCTTTCTGGTGGCGGCCTCTTGCCTGCTGCTGTTACTGCTGCTTGTACTGTTGGGCATGAGTTTGTCAAGAAAGCCATCGACCAGTGGTGGAACCCTGCTGATGGCCGGCTTTTGCTGGACAGATGCGCCACCCAAGCCTTTCTCTCCTCCTGCATGAGAACATGAGAAGGAGCAAGAGGAGTGCTGTAAAAGCCATTGTTCTAACGAGGCGCATATATTATAACGATTTCCTAAAATCGACTGGTTTACGACTTTACGTGTACCAAAGGTAACGATTCTCACTTGTTCTCAACGCTTAATAGCAATTATAGTTTATGTATCGATTTCTGTATAACGATTTCTATTGTAACGACAGATTTCTCCTCGTTAGCTCATTAGAACTAGCACTTCGTTATATATACGGCTTTTACAGTGCATGTACAGGGCCGGAGGCTGCTTCCGCGGAGCGGTGCAGCCGAATGGTGATGTTTAAGGGGGTCTGGGGGTCCTCCCCATAAATACTTTGGAATTTAGATGGCAAATCCTGCACTCTGGTCGACTCCCTCTACAAATCATACATCGAAACGTTTTCTCCCCGGTTTTGGGCGGTCCATGTGGACCGACTTTTTGGGAAGTTGGTACGGTACCGGCCGTACCAGTGGCGCCGGCCCTGATATACAAGAGGAATACAGGAGGCAGAGCGATAGTTAAGACGATACGCTGCAGCTTTGCCAGACATGTTGCCACCGTGGTGTGCGAGAGCGGCATGCACTGGGTGGACTGGGGCTAAAAGAGGCGAGTGCATTGCTCAAACGGTAAACTCACTCAGGAGCTTTGTCGTGCCCGTTCTTTCCGTCCTCTCTTATTTAGACTCGGTCGGAAAGTCCCCAGTGCATAGCCAAAACCTAGCATTGGACGCGTTTGATTACACACAATTCCGTCCATTCTAGAACTAGTTACGGTGCACGCAGCGTTTGCATACACACATTCCGTCGCCAGAATTGACGGAATCCAATTCCGTCGATTCTGAAGAGATTTTCTAATTCTAGAAGAAAAGTACGCGAACCCGTGCAATTGTTTTATTTATTTTTTCTTCAGTTAACTACCAGAGGTGATCAATGAACTTGGCAAGATGGGCAGCTTACCTGGCGGCTGTGTTAGCGGTGATCGCACACCGGGGGAGGTCTGCGGTGCGGACTCGGGCGATGGGAAGAGAGCGGCCTGCAGGTTGTTGTTCGATTTGTCACGGACCAGCGGAGATAGAGTGGACGGCGAGCGGTGATCATCTGGATACAGAGTCAACGGCTTACGCGGTAACCCAGCCGACAGAGCTGTGACCGACGACAACAAGGATTTTTGAATATCGGCGGCGCTCACACCGTTCCTTGTGCTACCATTGATGGCCTGCTCGCTGCCGAATGATGACATCTGGGCGTCGTGGGGCGCGATTCCGGGAACTGACAGTGATCCGGCACGCGATCGTATCTTAACCTTGTCCACGTTGCCAGTCGGGCTGTCCGATCTCACGCCGAGCTGCTGTTGGGCACGGCGGTTGGGCATTGGTGACCGTGAGATGGCCTTCGCGGGCTTGACAGACGCACCCAGAAGCTGCTCGGGTATGTGGCTGCTGATCGCAGTCGGAGCCTTGCTACCGCCGGCACCGGACTGAGCGGGCATCGGGGTCGACGTCACCAGCGGCAGTAGATCGGACGGTTTCACCGGCGCGTTGGCCAGCCTCTCCAGCTCGGGAGTGGACAGCGCTGGCTGACGAACGTGTCCACGGCGCGCCGATGTCGGCGTCAGCTGTGGATCGGCGCCGACGCCGCTGGCTGTGCCCTGCTGTGCATGTGCAAGGCGACGGACACTCGTCGGTGTCCCTGGGGACAACGGGGATGACTCTGCAATGACAGTTAGCAACAACAGACCCAGCAGGACAGCACAAATAGGTGTTCAATGGGATAGCAAATTTTGTACTTTTATTCATGGATTCTCCACAGGCCTTAGCCTAAGTCGAGGGAGTCGCCGTCAACAGCCTTATCTAAACCAAACTGGAACAGCAGAGGCACCAGCCATCGTGTCAGCAGCAGCAGCAGCAGCAGCAACAGCAGCAGCAGCAACGATATAATTTGCAATAGCAGCAACAGTGCAAGAAAACAGTCAGACAGCAACAACAGAAGGACAGCAACAGACAGATAGAAGAAACAGACAGGCAACAGCAACACCGGGAAAAAATAACAAATAAGCAGCAACAACGAACACACCGCAACAAGCAGGCAGCAACAACAAGCAGGCAGCAACAACAAACAGACAGCAAACAGAAGCAGACAGCGCACAGAAACAGACAGCAAACGGAAGCAGACAGCGCACAGAAACAGACAGCAAACAGAAGCAGACAGCGCACAGAAACAGACAGCAAACAGAAGCAGACAGCGCACAGAAACAGACAGCAAACAGAAGCAGACAGCAAACAGGTAGGGAACATCTTGCACAGTGTCTTCACCATTACAGATGTACCATATCCAAACCGCCATCGTAAATCAAGCTCGCTCAATGCATGCTTCCACCAATCGACTACTAGTACTTTCACCCACTGTGGCAGTGTTGCCAGGAGGCTAATAGCTGTTCAAAGTTTTACTTCAGAGTACGGAACTACAAATGATATCAAGACTACACTGCAACATGATGTATAGCTGAAAAGGAATGATAATACACACCTGGCAAAAGGTGGTAAGTACACGTCTGCTCACACAGCGCTCTCTAAGCTACAACGTGCAGGCAGAGAGTACTCCCCTCACACCTCCGTCCCCAGCTAACTGTTAGCACCTGGCGCTTCGTCGCCTAGCCATCATTCCACCAGGTGTAGTCCTTTACCCGGCACTACTTCCCTCCTACCAGGAGATGCCGGTTTTGCCGCCAATACAGATTACAACTGTCACCCGGGAACTGGTTGGCAGGCACAAGGGGTACATACATGTGGCTAATGGGGTTTCCCGGCACTTGTGTAGTCTTCTATCACCACTTCTCTTCTAACAAGACCACGCCTAGTCTTGTTGCCTGTAATGTTCCCGTGTGAGTGAGTGAACATCAAGTTAGTGTTAGCTGCTCCCGGCTAATGATGCCCCCTCACACCGGAACACAAGGGGTTTTATATGATTGGATAATTTATAGAAGTATTCGAGAAGAGTGTAGACAAGGAGAACAGGACAACGACAACTCAAGACGGACTAGACTACTCTAGAACTGGAGCATGCGCTCTTCTATGTGAGTGCACATTGCCAAGGGGAACGAGCGGGAAATACAAATAGTGAGTATTCAGGTCGTAGCATACATACACCTATTACACTGTGCCCCCCTAGCTAAAATTCACGTCCACGGGAATGAACGAAATACCTAGGAAACAACAAAAGAAAACAAACCAAATAATAAACTCAGTCCAGGACATAGTCAGCTAGTCGAGCAGGTGCAGTGCGAACACGGCCAGAACGACGAGAAACAGGAGAAGAAGTACGGACCGGATCAGACGACGGCGGCGGTAGCGGCGGAAAATCATCATCGGACAGCGTAATCGGGTCAGGACGAGAAGCAGTAACGGCAGGCGGTTGACAGTCGGGAGGACGGGAAACGGCTTCAGGCGGTCGAACAAACTTGCCACTGGCAGCATCATATCGGGTGAAACACTCAGACAGAGCAGGATCAGCATACGGAGCAAGAAGACTCTGAGGCTTGAAACAATCAGGTGACGACGGTCCAGCGGCAGAGGAACCAGGAGGACGAACAAAAACGGCCGGAGGAATAATCTCGGCAGCCGGAGGAACATCAGCAGCAAGTGGCACTTCAGCAGCAGCTGACAGCGGAACATAACGGGCAAGAGGCGGCGGACTCGGCGGAGGAGACAGGGCAGCATCTTGCGGCGGCGTTGGTGCCAGTGGCGGAGACTCACTGTGCACATGTGCTTCAGGTTCGGCTATCAAGCGCGACAGACCATCAGCATTCAGATGTTGGCGACCTGGACGGTGGACGACCCGGAATTCATATTCGGATAAACAGTCAAGCCAACGTGCTTTCCGTCCGCGGGGTTCCTTCAGGTTCCGGAGTGCAGTCAACGCAGTATTGTCCGTCCTGGCAACAAATGGTCGTGCCAACAAGTAGTGCCTGAAATACTCCGCAAAATAGACCAGAGCAAGGGCCTCACGATCGCTAGCATCGTAGTTGCGCTCAGCTTTCGTCAGTACACGACTGCCGTACCCAATTGGTCGCTCAGTTCCATCCTGGATCTGGCTGAGGACTGCACCAATCGACAGATTGCTCGCATCGGTGTCCAGAATGAATGCACCTGCTGAATCTTCAAACTGGGGGTACGCCATCACCGGCGCACTGGAAAGCGAACGCTTCAGAGCCTGGAACGCCGCTTCGCAAGCTTTCGACCACGCAAAGCGAGCATTCTTGCCTGTCAGAGCAGTCAGCGGAGCAGCACGCTGGGCGAACCCACGGATGAAGCGGCGATAATATCCAGCGAAGCCAAGGAACTCGCGGACAGCTGTGACAGATTTCGGAGTCTTCCAGTTCCTGACCGCGACGAGTTTGGCTTCATCCGGGGAGATGCCCTCCGCTGACACGCGGTGTCCTAAGAAAGTGACCTCCTCCTGGAAGAAGGAGCATTTCTTCAGATTGAACCGCAGTCCAGCGGACCGAACTCGCGCGAACACGGGCAGCAGAATCTGGAGTTGGCCAGACAGTGTTTCGCTGGCATTCAGGACATCATCAAAGAACACACGGCAGAATGGCTGGGCCGGTGTGTTACATAAGCCACTCAGGACTGCTTCCATTACGCGCTGAAATGTCGCTGGGCCATTCCTGCAGCCCATCGGCAGAACATTAAACTCAAACAAGCCCAGTGGCGTGGTAAATGCCGTCTTAGCCTTGTCGCTTCCTTCCATTGCTATTTGCCAGTACCCTGACGCTAAGTCAAGGGACGTGAAATACCGACAGCCAGACAGGGAATCAAGCATGTCATCCGCCCGGGGAATCGGGTAGGCGTCAGGTTCGGTGACAGAGTTCAACTTCCTGTAGTCGATACAGAGTCGAAGAGAGCCATCCTTCTTTGGCACCAATACTATGGGTGATGCCCACGGACTAATCGATTCTTGTATTATGCCTTGCTTTAACAGCGTATTCAGTAGATCTTGCAGAGCCTTCCGGCGGTGATATGGAATCCGCCTGGTAGGTTGTTTTATAGGGTTATTTTGTCCTGTGTTAATTTTATGAGGGAATATGTCACAGTAGCCATAGTCATCATCATGCAAGATAAATAAATCGTGGTTATCATGAAGTAGTTCAGTGAGCATGCAAGACTGTTCTGTGGAGAGATGATTTTGTGCGCTGATATATTCATCGATGACTTTCTTGCGTTGCTCAGTTAGCCGGATCGGGTCGGGTGAAACTGAGGAAACCATAGCTTCAGTGTCGTCAATATGTTCACAATCTGTAGGAATTTGATGAAGTTCGGCAACATTGGTATTTTTATGAATGAGTATAGGATGATTTGCATGATTTTCAACAGCCACAACCACACGTGTTTGGTTAGGGCCAACAGTTACAAGACTAGGAGTCACTGCCACATCTGGATGCTTCGCCATAAAGGACTCCAATGGATCTGCCACGCAATCCATCGCAACCGTGCACACATCAACAGCTGCACAAGGCACCAAGACAACATGTCCTGCAGGTACCAACAACTCCATCTCAAACACCACACGAGATGAGTAAACCACAGGGTCAGCCACACTCTCGGGTGCACACGCCGGGACAACGCCAGGTTGAGCCATGGGTTCAACAACCCGTACAGACAATGAATCGTCAAGGGCAACACGAGAAGAATACGACGAAACAGGTACATCGTCGGAGCATGCATCAGAATCAGAATGAGGAGTATGAGTATTACATGAGGAGGAAGTATTACGCGGAACAATACGATCATAGGGCGTACGTGACGGAGGACACCCAGAACCAGAAACATGCAACGGAACAGACACATCGCCAAACATCACAACACCACGAGCAATATCTAATACACCACCATGCTGCAACAAAAAATCGGAGCCAAGAATCATGTCGCAGTGAATACCAGGAGACACAACAACCGTGTGCTGGAAAGACAGATTTCCTAGCGACATACACAGATCCATGGATCCAACGACAGGAAGTTGTGCGCCATTGACTGCACACAACCGCGGAGCAGACTCTAGAGGAGGTCGCTCTGTCAAATTAGGCAACAATTTAGAATGCACTAACGACACACTTGAACCAGAATCAACAAGAGCAACAACAGGAGACGAAGACGAAGACGAAAGACAAACATCAACGTGCACAATAATGGGTGAGATCGCACCACATACCTCCTCGAGGGGCTCCACTCGGACGACTGACGGCGGCCCCGTGTCACCAGTCCAACCTAGTTTTTTGCGTGCGGGCAAGATGCAATGAAGTGGCCCTCTTCACCACATCCATGGCACACTCCACGCACAGGCCTCGCAAAACTCTGGCCACGACCACGACCACGGCTAGGCGCACCGGCACCAGCACCACGAGCAACAAAACGTACATGGTCTTGCTGGGGTCGGGTGGGGCGATACAGACTCACGCTCTCCATTTTCGCCTCCAAAGCAGAGAGACGCGAATCAAAACTCGACAAAAGCGAAGCCAACTGGTCTCGCTCAGATTCCGACTTCAGTGGACCGACTGCTGCGTAGGGGTCACGACCATGAGCAGTGCGACGGGGCTTCACTTCCGGAGCAGCAGCAAATACGGGCTGTGCATACTGGTAAGGTACGGTGCGGGCCTGCTCGCGAGCATAAATAGCACCTACCTCGATGGCCTTTTGGACCGCCGCATCCAAATCAGTGGGCCGAGGTGACGCCAACGCCAAGCGCAAATCCTTCGATGCCTGGCCATCAATAAAAAGTTGCAAAAGCATTGAATCAAGCAGTGCACCTTGTTGTCCTGGGTAGGCTCGACGAGCGAGCCGACGAAGTTCCGTGGCATACCCGTGCTGAGTTTCACTCGCCAGCTTCACTCGCTGGCGAAGACTGGCCTCGTGCATCAATGCTTGCTGGGGCGGCTCAAGACGGACATGCAGAGCCTCGACTGTGTCGGAAAAGTTCATGTCAGGCGTGTGAGTTAGAATTTCGGTGAACATCTCATGAGCGGTACCAACAAGGCGAGCAGGTAGTAGCCGTAGCTTTTGTTCGTCGTCGTACCCACTCAGCTCGCATGTGTGGACGAAATGCCTCATGTACGTGGTGAAATCTTGGCCTGGCTGATTTCCGAATGTCTCAGGAAGCAAGACTGGCTTCGGCAGTGGACGTGCATGTGGTGTGTCTGTGTCCGGCAAACGAAAACGATGGGACAACCCTTGTACCGGCGAACTCTCGCGCTCTTCAGCAATGCTCATGTCACAGCCAGCTTCAGCGAAGCTACGCTCTAGCTTTTCTTGTCTCTTGGATTTCGCTGAACGGCCCATTGTGAAAAAAAATTGTTTTTGTATTTTTGAATTTTCGAAAAAAAAATTATCTGCAAAAATTATTTCCCGTGGACTCGATCGACGCGCCTCGATCAACTATCGATCTAATTCTAAATCTATTACGTAACCTATCGTGCGTAGCGGCAAACAACTAAATTTGGCAGAGACAATTCCAAATAGGCAACTACTCTACGGACACAGTACAGTGTAGCTAGACTCTACTACCCAGCTAGCAGATATCCTAACAAGACACTAGACAGCAGCCAGTATGCACAAAACACGGACACAGAAAATGTTCCGAAAATGTTTGGCCAGACAGGTTGGCGCCAATGCTTGACCTATGGACTGTAAACCATGGTAAACAATGCATGCAACAAGAAAACGACGAGCAGAAAGAAACACAATGCAGAAAGGAAAATATTGACGAAGAGAGTGGATGAGGATATGGTTTCACTTGCGTGGGCCTTCGTGGTTCTTCATAGTCGGCGATCTCCGAAGGCGTACATACTTCGCCAGCGATGTAGTGGTGGACGTTTTCCGCTGCCACCAGTGTTAGCTGCTCCCGGCTAATGATGCCCCCTCACACCGGAACACAAGGGGTTTTATATGATTGGATAATTTATAGAAGTATTCGAGAAGAGTGTAGACAAGGAGAACAGGACAACGACAACTCAAGACGGACTAGACTACTCTAGAACTGGAGCATGCGCTCTTCTATGTGAGTGCACATTGCCAAGGGGAACGAGCGGGAAATACAAATAGTGAGTATTCAGGTCGTAGCATACATACACCTATTACATTAGTTCCTGCACTCCATAGATCAAGTTCACTCCACAAGTCCCAGACAACAACTAAAGTTTACTTACATAGAACAAGGAAAGATAAAGATGCACAACCAGGATCCATATATGTACACAGTACGGGAATGCATAGGGGTAACCGATCCCGGAACGGATCGAGTACAACAACGGAACCACAACATCGCCCATTCGGATAACAGATTTCGCCTGCGTTACAGATCTACCCTGGGGTTAGGGCCGATTCCCACTACGGTACCGTGAGTGCCGTGCCGACGATTTGGGTAGGTCACGTGTACCCCACGGTACGAGCTTGACGCTGAGAGTGATTTACACCTGCGCAGAGTCATTCCGTGCGTTCCGTCGGCAGGCCGGATCACCATTTTTTTTTTTTATCAATTTCTGACTTTGGTCCTGAGGGAATATAGCGGGGGCCTGGGAGATGACTGGAGAAAGCTCAAGAATCAACCAATCGAAAAGCCAAAAGCCAAGAAAAAACTTCGTACCACAAATACAAAAGAAAGAAAAAACTTCCTTTCAGGGAGTAGTAAAATGCCTACTACTCACTGCATTAGACCTCGCGGAATACCACGGGATGCCATTTCCACCCCCCAGAGGCCCTCGGCACCGGAATGTCCACGGCGCGGTACGGCAGGAGCCACGGAATGAACTCGCGCCAAACTGCCCCTCACGTGAGCAAATCACCATGGGTACTCACGGCACGGCACTTACGGTACCGTAGTGGGAATCGGCCCTTAGTACGACATTGGTAACAAGACAAACTTCAATAGTAGACAACGATCCAAAATCCCCTGATGCCTGAAACCAAGAGTAGATAAACAAGAGTGTGCAACTCCGGATCTCTCCTGCACAATCTGCAGATACCCCCCCCCCCGCCTATGGCGGAATTTTTTGTTGACGTCGCCTTTTCTCAGAGAAACGCACATTTTGCCGCAGAGTAGTGTGAGAGTGTAACATGCATCACGTGCTGGGCACCGATCTTGTAGTGTAAACCCCGGCCAAGTGCACAAGCGAAACTTTCCAAAGGACTCGCAGCGCGTGCGTCGTCGAAAAGATTACGTCAACAGAAAATTCCGCCGTGGGCCAACCCATTTCACACTCTTATTTATCTACTCTTGCTGAAACGCATTTGCCAGTCGTACACTCGAGTCGAACAACGTCTTCTCCACCAGACAGTTTGGATTTCGCCATGTCATAGTGCAGCCGACCTCCTTACCAGCCTCCACCACCAGTGGCTGCATACAGCCGGGGAGAAAGGCGCAGCACGCATACTCGCCATTGACATCGCCGGTGCGTTTGATTGCGTATCACACCCCGGTGTGCTACACAAGTCCGACGTATACGGCCTGCGTGGGCAACTGCACCAGTGGCTCAGCAGCTACCTCAGTGAACGCTACCTTCAAGTGGTCATTTGTGGCCAGACATCCTCAAGGCTCCCAATTCAGGCTGGAGTCCCCCAGGGCAGTATTCTGGGTCCGACTCTCTTCCTCATGTACGTGAACGACTGCGAGGACCACGTACCAGCCGGTGCTGACCTAGCCTTGTTCGCAGACGACACTACGCTGTATGCCAACATCACCCCCACCACCCAAGACGATACCACCCAAGCCCTCCAGCTAGCAGTCAACAACATCTCCCGCTGGGGTCAAGAATGGAAAATAAAATTTGAACCAGCCAAATCCCAGGCACTGACTGTCAGTTTCCACCGCACCCAATGGGACATGCCACCGATTGACTTCAACGGATCAAATGTGACGGAACAGGCGGAGCTCAAAAGCTCGGGCATCAGGTTCGATGGTCAGCTTACCTTCCGGCGCCACCTTCGTACCGTAGCCCTCCGGGCAACACAGCGACTCGGTGCTTTGCGTAAGGCTTTCCACTTCTTAGACGTGCCCGGTCGCATCCAAGCCTACAATGCTTTTGTGCGCCCAGCGATGGAGTACTTCCCTATTGTCTGGATGGGAGCGGCCCCATCCCATCTTGCAAGACTCGACCGTGTGCAAGCCCGGGCCATCCGTGCCATCGCCCCAATGTGTTGGCTGCCGAGTCTTGCTCTTCGTCGGATGGTTGCAGCACTTTGCCTCCTGTACAAGATGCATTGTCCGGATGCGCATCCCCTTCTACAGAGGATGCTGCCACCCCAGCAGCCCCAACACCGAACAGTCCACTCCACCCGTAGTACATTCCAGAGATGTAATGCTCACGCACACCAACTGGCCAATGAACTTCCGGTCCGTTCCCGAAACAACCTGTGTCGAGCCTACCCTCACGCAACTGTCCCCGTCTGGAACCAGCTGCCCGCCGGAGTCTTCTCTGGTCCTTTCTGCACCAAGAACTTGCAACACTTCAAAGTTGCAGCCAACCGCTATTTGAAGACCAACGACTGGTCGTGGGCACATGACCATCTCTGATTATCAGCATCATATCTGCCTCACCCCATGACTTCCAAATTCCGCTCCACATACTATTCCTAATAACGTCTGCTCTTCTTTTCTCTCCTTCTCCTCCTAGCACTGTCTGTCTTATCATTCCCCTCCTTCTAATGTACTGTCTCTCCTCCTAGCATTTCGTATCATGTACCTCAGTGTCACTCCTTTCAGTTTTCTTCTTTTTTTTGGTGCGTTTTATGTCCCCATGACGTCGAGACCTCAGGTCGGCTGAGGGCAAAAAGCCTCACCATCACTATGCTCCCACTATGCAATTTTTTGTCTTTGCCAGTGAGCTGTGATCATTGTAAAAACAAAAAAAAACAAAAAACAAAAAAACATGCAAGTCTGGACAGTAGATAATACTCGTCTCAGGCCGTCAAATGTCTCAGTAACATGTTAGTTTTGTGCCCTGGTATCGCACTTTCTGACTGCTTATTATCTTGTTACAGTCGTGGATAGTTGCTTCATAACTCGTTTCCACGTGATTTATTCTATTTTAATTATACTCGGAATTAAACAAAACAAATGAAATCCCGGGATTGTCTACTAACAGGAGTAGACCTGTATTAGTCCCGCACATAAGCACGGAGGTTGAGAAACTTGGTGGAGGTGATCATGTCGGCTACCCCAGCCATGTATTAAATAAAAAATTAGAAAATTCGACAGGTTCGCGTACCGGGCAGGTCAAGAACAAGGAGTCGTACAACTCCCTGGTCAAGAACCACCTTTCCGCTTCCGTGGGACGCCTCCACCCCATGATCAGGCGTCAGATACGGTTCCTAAACGGTGGGGGAGGATAGATCAGATCCACCAACCATAGGCCAAAGGCCTAAATCCCATTTGCCACATCCATGTTTTACTCATGCCAGGCCACAAGTTCCCAATTAAATGTGGGTCGCAGCACGGTTGGAAAAAATCCTTCCGCTTCCAAGCAGGACTTGAACCTGGTACCTCTCGTTTCTCAATCATGGTCTTAGACCAACCCACTGTGTCTGCCGGTATACAGGGAGGCATAGCCATGTATTGCTTGGAATACAACAAAAACAAACAAAAAACCATCATTGCCCTCACCTGATGCTTGCGCGGCAGTTAGTGCTTTGGCTGCCGGCGTCTGGTCAAACGAGAACAACGGTTGATCGTTTTCGTCGGCCTCGCGACACACTTGCAGTCCCCCACCAGCCTTGCCCGTAACGGGTGCTGTGTTGGCGGACGGATGCTTTCCGGCGCGCTGGGTCAAGTAGTCGGGGCCTGGCACGTGTCCGGCTTCAATTTCCTCGAGCACATCCAGTGCGCCGGGTAGAATGTGGGCCATCTGTGAGAGAGGGCAAAGCAGAGGAGTAGCACCAGGGTCATGGAGTGACGATAGGTTGTTGACTATTATTTTTACTTCACCAACTGCTCGGGCATTACGAAACACAGGGAATAGCACCGGGGCCGTGGAGTGACAGCACGAAACACAGGGAAGCCGCGGCCTAAGTCTTTCACCCACAGTCCTCCCACACACACACAAACATGATCCCCAAACTCAGGTGGCCCCTTACCCAGGGGTATACACCTTTTAGAACATTAGTGTGTACTCTAAATTCAGAAATTTTCGGTGCTCAATATTTTCGGTACGAGGGCAAAAGGCCAGGTTAGGTGAACGGAAATTTTCGGTACAGAGAAGCAGTTCCCGATTGGATTATGTGTGTTAGTGTTTGTTCGGTGTATTGAAATTTTACGTATGAAACAGATGCACCGAAAGTACCAAAAATAAAAGTACACCGAAAATTTGTGAAATTACAGTAACTTGTACTTCAGATGGCTGACCGTACCACACGAAAATACCTTCCGACGCCCCTGCAATACATACACACTTTGTTTATCAGTCCGTAACTTTGAAAAGGTGAGTAACTCGGAATCACATACATTTTGATGAGGAGAGACCATACACATGGCATATGACGTCACTGTTTCCACAAAACTGACAAAGAGCTCAGGTTTCCGTTGCAACAATTGCCAAAGAGCTCAGGTTTCCGTTGCAACAATAGCCAAAGAGTTCAGGTTTCCGTTGCAACAATTGCCAAAGAGCTCAGGTTTCCGTTGCAACAATTGCCAAAGAGCTCAGGTTTCCGTTGCAACAATTGCCGAAGACCTACGTTTGCAGAGAAATTACGCTCGATATTTTAGTCACAGAAATGTATCGAAGATTGATAATGCCTGGTTGTAGTTAGCTCGAACTGATTGAGGATGGGTGGTTGAGAGCGTTTGTGCGGAGCTAGACAATTATTACTCGCTTCCACACAAGGCGCACAGGGAGATAGTGCCCGCAGGTTGCCATTTTTTACTCCTCGATTGTGATTGAGTGCTTTCCATGCACGCATCTTAGGTGTGTTAGCACCTCTGAGACACGGTGGAAGCAGAGCTGTCGTTCAAAAGAGACATGTTGATTATACTTTGTTTAATACATTGGCATAAAAAAAACTAATCCACTTGAATCTCTAAGGTTCCTGTGGCATCTCTGCATATGCAGGACACCTACAGGGAACTCTGGATACCGTATACCGTATATTCTCTATTATAAGCGCCGTGCTTATATTTTTTCAACACCCCTCAACCCCGTGCTTATATTGGAGACCGCGCTTATATTGGAGACCGTGCTTATATTTGTTCAACCAATACATCCATACAGAGCAAGAAGAAATACATGCTAGATATCATGCATGCAGCATTGATTCTGCCAAGACCATGCTAATAATAGAGACTGTGCTTATAATGTTTCGAAAGGTGCTCACAGTGTGCTAGTATTGGAGACTGTGCTAGTAATGGAGACCTGTGCTTATAATAGAGAATATACGGTATTTGAAGCAGAAATGTTCGTCTGGAATATAATTTCGTCTTTTCGTCCAAGGAGCTTTTGAACTAAATTAATTGCCGGACTAATGTCGATTTGTTCAGCTTTTCAATACACTCTTGTGATCCATGCACGGAATTTTCAACCGGACGAACTCCCTCTCTTTGGAGTTGGACGAAATTATTGACCGACGAAATTTTCTCCCTGTACAGTAAGTCGTGCAAGCGATCTTGGAGACCAGAATGCGTGACTTATTGTGAGCATGGGATTCCAAAAAAAACGAGCAACTTATTGCGAGTAGTCTACACTGTACCTCGTTGAGATCGGCACGCGATGTGCGTGGCGCACTGCAGCCACCCCCACCAGCAGCACCCGCTCCGGCAGTGGGCGACAGCAACGGAGCGGTGCTCGACGACGTGCTCGCCGCTGTGCCACGTCGACTCAGCGCCAGCGGTGCACTGCCTGTGTTGGTGTTGGTGTTGCTGCCGGCATCGCCGTTAGTAACTGTGACGATGCCACCACCACCGCCACCGCCACCACTAGCAGTATCAGCAAGACGTGCATGCGCAGCCTGCGCCTGTGTCATCACCCACAAAACACACAATGAAGACACATTTATAGAAGGAAAAAAGGACCAAGGAACTACAAGTTACGCTACAATGTCCACTAACACCACCAGTTACAAAACAATCAGATCATGCTCTCCATCCGAGTCCATGCAATGAAGACAGTGAAACGTTCCTGATAAGCACCGGATAACCATGAGTATTACACAGTGGTTTCCGGAGTACACTAGTAAACAGCACTGGGATTTCTTATGGCCCGCTGGAGTACAAGCCGTGCACAGAGGATTTTTTGTCATGAAATCCACACATCTACCCTGATGATCACCGTTTATTTGACCATCGTAGTAAAAGCCGTAGCAGCGACTTTGTTTGGGCGAACTACTGGTGTTTAACGTGCGGCTTACACTCCAGAGGTACGTTGATGCCGCTGATGGGGTCTTTCTCGGCACTTGTGCCAGTGGTTGTGAAACTTATCCACTCGCCCCCACCGTTAGGCGCTGTATCTGCCGCAAGGGTTCACCGGGTGTTAGCGACCGTCGTGAGTTCCCTTTGGGAACGGACACGATAATTTACTCTCTTTTTTTACTTACACTCCAGATAATACACTGCACAGCACAAGCGCTTTTTAAGCAGGCAAATGAAAATGTCGGCACGAACCCGTGCATGAGTAGGGCGTTTTATAATGCTGCTGACCTACGCAAAGTGGTACCTATGGCCTGCCATCTCACCGCCAGCGTTCAACAGCTCCCATTGCTGTTCTCGCCACCTTTTTTTAGATATTTCTTTATACCATTTCCATGCTTGCATTTGAGATACAAGTTCCAGGTCGATTATAAGCCTCTTCAGGCCGTGAAGTTCGGTAAAAACATTTGGAGATAAATTCTGAGAAAAGAACACAGCGTGTTACTTATCCATATGGACGAGGACAGGACAGCTCATTGTACAAGATTGCACCATGCGGTCCAGAACAGGGTGATCCACCCTCCACTATCCACTATCCACTATCCACCATCCATCATCCATCATCCACCATCCACCTTCCACCCTCCACCTTCCACCCTCCACCCTCCACCATCCACCCTCCACCCTCCACCCTCCACCCTCCACCCTCCACCCTCCACCATCCACCCTCCACCATCCATCATCCACCATCCACCCTCCACCATCCCGCACCATCCACCCTCCACCATCCACCATCAATCATCCACCATCCATCTGGCACTAGGCAGTAAGCAGATGCCAACAGGCTGCACAGACCTGGGAGGAGGGGGGAGGGGCGTTCCCAGCCAACTTTTAAGCCGTTCACACTACGTTTCGCTGTTTACTGATGTGAACTACTGTGAAGCGTGAAATTTTCGCGGCGTTTTTAGTTCGCGTTTTCAGAATCCGGACAGGTTTGCGAGGTTTTAATTTTGCGATTGCAGAATGGCATTCTTGTTAAACCTGTGGCATTCTTGCTAAACCCTTCATGGATCTCCTTTTCGCGCTGTCTAAATTTCGCGATTTCCACGCGGTCGCGAATTTCGCAGAAATTAGACCATGGCAATAATTTCACGGGTTACAGTACTAACTATATACAGTCGTCCCTCTCTAAACCGGCACTTTATAATCCAGCACCCTCGATAAACCAGCACTTTATAATCCAGCACCCTCGATAAACCAGCACAATTCTCAGTAGCCAAAATGTCCTCTTCATGCACATTGCAGCAGTAAATCAGATTTGTTAATCCAGCACCCTCCCTAATCCAGCAGATTTTTCGTGGCACAAATGGTGCCGGATTATAGAGGGACCACTGTAGTTGGTTAGAGTTGCTGGGGCTGGCAAATCGGCTTGGCCAGTTGTGTATAGTTTTTTTCATAAACACAAAACACACACACACACAGTGTCACACACTTGTACTTGTTGCTCACTGCCAAAACTGGTCACGTGGGTCTCCCCAGGAGAGGGGAGAGAGACTCAAAAGGAATCTTGGAAAGATGACTCAATTGGCTATTGAACCGCCCAACGGCCGACACCCCCTGAAATCCCTAAAACTCTGGGTGGACTTGAAAACGATCCCACTTATGGGCTCACCACACCTCAGTAAGTGGGTGAGAAGAAGGATTGACGGCATCAGGGTATCCGTCCCGGGATCCAACTGCAGTTACCCCTGCCCCCAGTGAAGGTAATACTTGGTACTAGTGTGGGTGGCTAAATCAGAGTGGATCTGATATAAGCTTCGCTAGCACCATTGATTACACAAGAGTCTACCCAGAAGCAGTCCATGGTTAACAGGTATGTATACTTCAAATAGAAAATATATGAACCCTGCAACCAACAAAGGTGGCAGATACAACAATACATTTTCAAGCAGCCGAGCCTGTTGGCAACAGACCCAACACAATCAGGCATAACTGTACCCACCAACCGAACTAGCCGGCAACACACACACACACACACACACACACACACACACACACACACACACACACACACACACACACACGCATATATACATGTACACCCCCCCCCCCCGCCAAACACACAAATATGCACAGACACCCACATGCACACGTTTCTCGCGCTCACCTGAGAAACAATGATTGGATACTCAGTTTTATCCGCACCATCAGCGGTTGCATCCGCGTTGGTGTCCATTGGCCCCACTTTCGGTGTACAGATGCCTAGCTTTGTACCCGGTGGAGGTTCTACATCAAACGACTTCATTGCAAAAAGGCTCTCGCTTAGGCTGCTCCTGGATTCCGGTATTACAACGCCACCATTCTCTATCTTCTCATTGTATGACATGCTGCAGGGCAACAGAGGAGGAAAAGAACGGGAGCGGGAATGGTGAGAGAGGGCGAGACATACGAGAGAGAGGGAGAGAGAGAGAGAGAGAGAGAGAGAGAGAGAGAGAGAGAGAGAGAGAGAGAGAGAGAGAGAGAGAGAGAGAGAGCGAGCGAGAGCGAGCGAGAGCGAGAGAGAGAGAGAGAGAGAGAGAGAGAGAGAGAGAGAGAGAGAGAGAGAGCGAGAGCGAGAGAGAGAGAGAGAGAGAGAGAGAGAGAGAGAGAGAGAGAGAGAAAGAGAGAGAGAGAGAGAGAGAGCGAGAGAGAGAGAGAGAGAGAGAGAGAGAGAGAGAGAGAGAGAGAGAGAGAGAGAGAGAGAGATGTACACACATACACATACACATAGAGAGAGAGGGGAGGGGTGGGGGCAGGGGCAGGGTGAGTCACATGCACCCAGAGAGAAAGACAGCCAGACACACGGACAGACAGGTCATATGGACAGACAGGTCACACGGACAGACGGACACATGAACAGACGGGCATACGGACGCACGGACAGACGGACACATGGACAGACAGGTCAAGCAGCTGTAAAGAGCCAAACCACACAACAGGAGCAAAACTTGGACATCCAGAAACATTTCCTGGTAAACACTAAACAGTCAGTGTTTTTGTTTTTACAAATATCTCGAAATTCCTAGAGTGGATCTCGCAATTCCTAGAGTGCATCTCGCAATTCCTAGAGTGGATCTCGAAATTCCTAGAGTGGATCTCGAAATTCCTAGAGTGTATCTCTAAAAAAGCGAAACATTTCGGCCCACTTTCTCATATCGGCCCATATTGAACAAAAGAACCCAAAAAGTCCCCCGGATATCCAATTTTCGGGGCCCCATTAATCCGCGATATTGATTGCGACCAGCTACTTTATTTCGGCCATTCCATCTCTACCCGGTAGACAGAATACACTGCACAGTTCACTTCCAAAAAACTTCACCCTACCATATTTTCCGGGTTTCATTAAGCCGCACTGGAGTATAAACTGCACCCAGATGTTTGTCACGAAGTACAGTCAGACCTCGCTTTTAACCGTACACATCCGTTTTCCACAAAAAAAGTCCTGACAGGCGAGGGAACCGGATAACCGAACACCGGTTTATGTTGGATGCATCATGTATGCTGTAAATCTGTAACCAGCTATTTTCTTCCGGTTTGCGAGGGATTGGGATAAAAGAGGAGCGGTTAAGCCAGGTCTGACTGTACAGGTATGTACCCTGTGTTTAACAGTTCATCTGACCAGTGTAGTAAAATCCTTATGGGGGCAACGACTTTTTTGGGACGAAATGTGAGCGCTTGAAGCACGGCTTATAGGTTTTTCATACTACGTTACAGTACGCGTCAAGTTTCGGAATACGACGTACTGGCACACGTCGTCTTCATGCAGGTCCATTCACACAGGCACGTGTACGCTTTTCGTACAGGCGTGCGCACAGCTTCTTTTGGACACAAACTGCCAGGAACGCCGGAATGTACCTCGGTACAGGGGTCTGGATACGTCGTCTACGTTTTCGTATCAGGGGTGCGATTTTCCCGCCGCGTTCCATGTTGTCATGGCTATCCGGACGAAAACGTCATGTGTTTTGAGTGTAGTGTGAATGGCCCAATAAACTCAGGAAATTCAGTACTTGAAGCACAGGTGGACCTACGTTGTACTGCTGGCATATGGCTTGACACACGCTGCCTGGATATCCTGATTCCCCTGCTGCCGTCGCGCTCGTCGTCGTCGCCGACGACAATACACGCAGCAAACCGTGAGCAGCGTTATCGCCAGCAGTGCGACGGCGGCCATGAGGCCAAACGCCACGTACATCCACAGGCCATCGTCGGAACTTGCCATGGTAACCGCGACGCAGGGCACTCAGGCTTCTTCAGAGTATCAGATTTTACCGGTCAGCAGGTAGCCTAGTGAGGCGATGAGTGCATTCGGAGTGGACGTTGAAGAACGCTTCGTCCAATGTGAACGCACGGATTGCACCCCGGAGTTGTCTGCGTGGCTGAGCATTCTGCACAGGGGAGCAGCGGTGAAGACACATGGGCAAAGTTTAAAAAACACAAAACGGTTACAGAATGTCCAAAAATGCTAGTGGCTTAGCCAGCCGAAAAATATACGCTCCGAGTGCAGATACCGAAAAC